AAGTAATGAATGATTCTCCCTTAATTTTCTTCTCCCTAGTCCAGTTATTTCCTTCCCTCCCTTCTCTCTTTTCTCTCCATCTTCTGTTTCAGGAGGTCAAGCCTCCCTCGAAGAGGTTTCCGAGGTGAGCGGAAACTCACCACAAGGCGGCAATGTTGGTTGGAAAATGGGATGAGGAATGTATTATGTGTTGGGAGATCCTACTATAAAGCCAAAGGGGTATGATCCCGTGTCAGAAGCTATGTTGTTATAGAAATGAGAGAAGTCAGTCACTCAAACATGATACAACTTGACACCTGACCTACTGGAGAAGTTGCCTCCAACTGATTCAACACTTGTGGAGGCTTTTCTTTCTTTCTTTCTTTTTTTATTAATTTTATTAATATAAGCAGAACTTGTACATCTTTAGACAATTGAGAGCACAACATTGGTGGTGAAAAATCATGATACTCTCTTTTGGCATGAGTGACCTTGAGAATAATTTAATGGTAAAAAGAATAACAAAAAAAATCTTAAGAGTAACAATTGTCTTCTGATTGCATCTTTGACTAGTAAAGATGATGATTGTTATCTCCATAGAACAATACATTGAATATGCTTTCATTTTCTTTAGAAGGATATTGGAATTATATTTGAGATCAACACTTAAGAAGTGTAGTTGAACAAATTGATGTGACCACATGTATCAAGAAATCGAGGAATCATCAAAAAGTAGGTGTAATTAAACATTGAAGATGCTTTCTCTTTCTTTAGAGGAATGCTGGAATAGGTAATAGTTCAAATGAAAGGGTATATTAATAGTGTCTTCTTGTTATCTTACTTGACATGTGTAGCTTCATGTCATTAGTTAAATAGCCAAGAAAATATTAGTTTTTAAAGATTGCACTTAAATTAGTCTATTTTTCTTTTCTTTTTGTGTTACTTTTCTTTACAGGTTGTAGAGGAAGAAAGGTTGCTTTGTAAGAAGGCCCTTCAATTCAGTTTCTTATCATTGTTGGGTGAATGTAAAATGAAGTAAACAAGATTGCTTTGTAAGAAGGCCCTTCAATTCAATTGAATGATTTGATGTCTTTATTAGCTTAAAGGGTTGTAGAAGTGTGCATATCAAAAATAGATCGAAAATAAGTAAAATCATAACCTTCTCATGTTGTTTTACTAGAATTTTCTGTCTTTTTCTTTTTCTTAAAAAAAAAATCCTTTACAGTTCCTATACCAAACCATGTTTTGAACTACTCAAATTTAAAACCATGTTTTACGGTTAATGCTCAAATTCCAATTATAAGTGATGCAGTGCTAATCCTTATGGATGCTATAGAATATTTTGAACTACTATTGATATTCCAATTAATTGCTTAGAATTCAGCCCATGTAGATTTTAGTTACTATTCTTATCTTTATAGTTAAAATACTTGAATATAATTCTAATATTTATATGTTTTGATTTGCAGGTTCAACCAATATGCTAAGTGGATTTGCATAGGAAGATGTGCTGCATTATTAGAGAATTTGATTAATTTTTTTTAAGTTCTTTTGGATATTTTAATATATAATCTTTGAATTAATAGATTTCATATTAAATTGGTTTTTATCAAATGGTTTTGCTGTATTAAACAGGTACGAAAATGCTAAATCAATAAAAAATTCAAGTACCACAAAAATATTATGCGGGTATATGCATTTTTTTGAAAAAAATATGTATATACCGGCGGTCATGTCCGTCGGCTTAGCTATCAACATGACCAAAAAATGTTAGAATAAGTAAAAAATGAAAAAAAAAAGATCAAAGCCGGTGGTCATTACCATTGGTTTAGCCACAAACAACACATAAGGTGGCGGTCATTTAGCATATAAGCCGGTGGTTCAGACCGCCACCTAATAACACAAGGGAGTTTGACAGAAACCTAAGATGGTGGTCTTTTGGTATCTAAGCCGGTGGTCTAAACCGCCGCCTGATTAATGCTAAGTCGGCGGCTCAGTGTGACTGCCGCTTCAGAGCGATTTGAACCAACCACCTAAGGTGGTGGTCTTTTGCACCTAAGCCGGTGGTCTTGACCTAAGCCAGGCAGAGGTTTAGGGGGCAGACTAAAGACCGCCGCCTTAGATCAAAGCCGGCGGTCATGATTTTCTTGTAGTGTTACCAACTAATGGGTAGCCCCAGTTGGTGGATTGGATGAATTGTCTGATTTGTCTCAGTTCAAATCTTGATGTTGTACTGTTTACTTAAAAGAGTTACAACCCCTAAAGGGTGTCAGGTGTTAGGTAGTGATTAATACTAAAAAAACCAGTTTGATTTCACCTAAAAATTCTTCAGATCATATAATAAACACTCCTACTCCCATGACCCATTGATCCGAGTGGTCGAACCATTAACTTGTACAACTTGGATAATGGTTTTGCCCATTTTTATTTTAATTATTTTTCATTTTTTAAATGCAATGTACCATCTGCTTGGATTAGACCGTCGAATCTCTGACTTGAAAACCAATGGCCAAAGCAGTTTCAATTCTGGGTTTGAATTACATTTACCATTTATGTAGGTATGCATGTTATTTGAGCTTTTTAATTGGGTAAAGCCCAATAGAATGGCCCAAAACTGTAGTAGAATGGTTTGGTTTGATTTCTACATTAAAACGGTTTGATTTAGTCTAAGAATCTCTCAAACTGTAATTTACTGATTTGGTTTGAGATTTTTTTTCAAATTGCCCTCCCAAACAGGCCATAGTCGATGTGCATGGGTAAGCTTAGCTTCATTATTGGTCAATATTCATTAATAAAATTCATGAGCATCGACCAATATAGACCTATTCAGATTTCCTCATCAACATTGTGATGACCAATTTTGTGAGGATAAAAAACCCTAATGGAATTGCATTAAAGGCTTGGTTCAGAAAGAATACAAATACAAATATATACAGTATTGCAAATACATACAAAATATCATAAAATTCAAGGTTTCACACTATAAATTTATACTTCTACTCCTTCCAACTGAACCAAAAGTTCAAAACAGCAATAATCTACCCATTCCATGTGACAACTTCCCGAAAATAAAAATTTTAAGATTTTTTTAAATAAACTTTTTTATAACTTTGACCTGATTCATGGCCTAACTTGGTCCAAGATTCGGCTCACAGGCCAACCTGCCGGATCAGGCCGTGAGCTGTGCCGGGCTGACCCCAAAATATCCCCAGGAGACATGGCCCGGGATGGCCCGCGGGCCCTGCCGTGCCACTTTGCAACAAAGGTCCCATCTTTCCCTGAAAAATCAACTATTTTCCTTTCCCATGTACATATTCCGTGCAATAGAGCAAACGAATTTATCTACTAATCGTACTTCTTCGTTGCATGGTTTACTGGCTTAAAGATTTCTTAAGCTTTTTGTCAAATAGTTAATGGATTCAAGCCGTGAAGCAATGAAAATGACAATATACAGGGCTGCAAAATGTTAAACAGCATGAAAACGGCATAGAAATTTGTTTCTGCTTGTTGCTGGCAATGTGGTGATGATAGAGTTGGATGACAACACATCAGTATTTGACCTCACCCAACCAGCATCCGGTGGCTGCCCTGCAACGTATTGATGCAGCTAGACTAGGTACAACGTATTGATGCAACTAGACTAGATGAAAGCTCACCGAGCCCTGCTTTAGGTAATGGGCCCTAAAACTGGTCCTCGTTTGAGTTTCTGCCTTGCCTTACAGTCGCAAGCCACAAGTGTAAGGCTGCAATTTGGGCTGGGTTGGTCCAAACCCAACCCTAACCTAACCTGAAAAGTTGGGTTGGGTTGGGTCGGGTTGATGTTTGAGTTAGGGTTAGGGTTGAAATTTATGAATTCGATTTTATTTCAGGTTGGGTTAGGGTTGACCCCTTAGCCAACCCGATCCAATCTGAATCCAACTCAATAGTACATGTAATATATAAATATATGTTATATGTAATATATACTATACATTGATTTGTTTAGATGCATGATATTTGTATAACCCCCACTATATAGTATCATGTATTTCTTTTAAGATAATTATTTCACTTAATCCTAATCAGAAAGACTAAAACCTTAATAACATTATTTCTTTTAAGATAATTATTTGTTTAGATGCATGATATAGTCATTTTCTAACACTTGTTTTTCTAAATTTTATACCAAAAGAACAAAAAAAAAAAAAAACGTCAACAAACAAATGCTAATGAAACATAGAATTAAAGTTGAATTAAGATCTAAAATCAAGAAATTCTATGAAGTTTTAAGGAATGGGAAAAAAGTTGGATTGGGCCCAACCTGAGCCCAACCCAACCCAAAATTGACTTCGGGTTTAGTTGGATTGGGTTATGGTTGAAGGAATTTAGTTAATGTTAGGGTTAGGGTTGGATTGGTTAGGTTGGGTAAGGATTAGGGTTGGGTTGGTCAGGTTGGGGTTTAGAACTTAGGGTTGGTGCCTCAACCCGACTTAGCCCGGCCTGACTTGCAGCCCTATACAAGTGAAACGCTGTCCAATGTCCCACATCGCCTAGCTGATAGAAATAAGAGCTTTTAATTTACATTCATTTGCATATGTAGAGTGTCTCTTCGGAGACATCCGATAAAATTGGAACGATACAGAGAAGATTAGCATGGCCCCTGCGCAAGGATGACACGCACAAATCGAGAAATGGTCCAAATACTTTTCCCACTTTCCCCCCTGAATCGATGTTCTGGATCTTCAAGTTCTTAAAAATTTTCCTTTTTTTTGCATTTTGTTGTTGTCGTTAATATTGTTCAATTCCAGAACTCATGCTCGTAGGGCTGAGAAACAGGGTATTGTTTTGGGCTTTGTTCGAGAAGGAATTTGGTTAAATTTTTCTTTCTGTATTGCTCTCATTGAGAAACTGAGTATAGTTCTGGGTTTAGTTTGAAAATGAATTTGGTTATGAGTTTTTCTTTTGGCTTTCTTGTATCCTTTTTCTGTATTCGTGAGTAAAAGAAATTGAAGGCGTTATTTTCTCCTTTTTTTGGCGGAAAAGATAGGTGTTCAAACAAACTGAAATGTATAACTGGGCATGGATGTTCACTGTTAATGATATCTCTTTATCAACTTTATTTGCATTCTGTTTCTTAAAAATCTTAACTTTATTGGCGTTATGTTATTTTGCTCGACAAGTTCTTTTCTCTTTCAGAATACCAAGAACTGATAATTCACGTTCAGAAGTCTGCCAAGCGTGACTGAGATTAGGTCTGCATCCTGTTGACTCCTCCCAAGATCCCACATAGCCAAGTCCAGCATTCAGTAATGGCTTTAATATATTGACAAGTTACTGGTATAAATTCGTCGTCTTGAATATCAGTTGTTTGTTTTAACAATAAAGACAAGATGGTTGAATTGAAGGCACGATAAACATTTGACATAAAATAGTTTCAAGGATTTTGAAATCTGTTCTTTTATAGGGTGGTAATGCTATGTTCTGATACCGTTTTTGCATTTTCTAGGGTGGTAAGAACTCCATTCTTCATCCATTCAACAAGAAAAATCTCCGTTCTTCATTCTTCATGCGCTAATTCACGGGCCAGTTTAGTCTGACTAGTTGATTGTCTAGCCCACTTTACATTGCAAGAAGAGCTTGTCACTCGTCACACGGATGGAGGTAACTGGATCCCGAGCTGAAGTCCTGGTTTGGGCTGTTCATATCTGCCTGTCTAGGTCTGTGATTGTGGTGAGAAGCATGGCTTTTTCCCACATCGCTTAGTTAGCAAGTAATGAGAAAGTTGATTTAACAACAACTCGATAACATGGTTGTCTCTTCGGAGACATCCGATAAAATTGGAACGATACAGAGAAGATTAGCATGGCCCCTGCGCAAGGATGACACGCACAAATCGAGAAATGGTCCAAATTTTTTTTTATGCTTCTGGGGTGGAGAAACAAGGTGAAGTTTCTGAGTATCTTTCAAAGCAAAATGAGATAATTTTTTGTTTCTCTTTATTTTTCTCCTTTCTGAATTCGTCAGTGAAAAAACTCTATCAAATGTATAGATGAGTACTCATGGGTGTTCACTTGTTCATAATATCTGTTTTTTTTCTTTTTCTTTTTCTTTTTAAACAAAACATTTATTGCCCCAGATGCTAAGAATCATGTTTTGCAATATTAGTGATATCGGTTACTGATCACTGCCATTTCAGAACTCTTGGCGATGAAATTAATGATCTTTAACATTAGACAGTGCTAGTTTAAGGAAAAGAAAATACAGAAAATTGTGCTGAAGTATCATTAAACATGTGACATAAAGCATTTTCTATGGTTTGGAGGCATTCAGTCAAGGGGATAATAGTGTCTAATTTAGGCTGATCTTCATGCTCTAGACTAGGTTTCAAAGCTATATCTTTTTTGAGCTATTTTAGTCACATTAGTGGAGTTCTTATTTGTGGTCAACTTCAAGCTTTTCAGTAGTTCTCTAATGACATACGGATCTTTCACATATAAATTCTCATTTCTGGATTGGTTTCTCAACCGATATCATGGTCCCTAATGCTATTGTGCATTGCATCTCTTAATACCCTTACTGCTGCACAAGTTCTCACCATATTCATATAACTGAATCTTGCATATAACTGATTAAGCATTCCTTGATCTTCTGTGTTTCATAGAACCTGGTCACTGTTGTTATTGTCTAGTTTACTTTTTTCCCAAGAACTGACAATTAAAGGACTCTGGACATTTTTTTTTTTTTTATTTTAAGCAAACAAAGGAAAATACATTCATCAGAAATCAGTACGAGTCACAGTCCTTGACAATAGGAGATAAAAAAAAAATCATGGAAAATGAACCAAGTGAAACAAGAAGAAATAGAACAACTATGTTGTGACTTGTGACAGTGGATGTGCTGCTGTATTGGGTGTTCTAGGAGTGTAATGGACTTGTGCTTCAGTGGATCCCCTCATTAAGTGTCCTGTAGTCCACAATAGTTGTTCCGATGTGCCAGGGAGGTTTAATGCAACCATCCAACAGGAGTTTAATTATACTTTTGGTTTTGGCATTCGGAATCACCCTCAAGCATCAAGGAAGAAAGGCCAAGAATTGAGAGTCCTTTAAAAGCTGCAGTATGCTTTCCAGATATTCCTACAGAGATTTAAGCCCTCATCTAAAAAACTACAATGTGTGTGGCTGATCGGTTGTTTGATCTAGATGATGCCAAATGGAAAGCAAGTCCAGATAGGTATGATTGAGGCACTCCATTACTCTTACATTAAAAAAAAAAAAAAACTGCCAAACTAGATTGTCTGAACACATGGAGATTCCTATGACTATGATGCCTGGAAACTGTACATGCCCGGCATACCAGATACAACATCTAATACTGCATACAGCACTTATAGGTGTACTTTATAGCCTAAATTAACCCTTTTAAAATATGTAAAATTGTTTATTTCAATTGATTATCCTCTGAAGAACTTCTACACATTAGAAATTTGGTAAGATATAAGTCTTTAAGAAATGACATTTTGATTTAAAATCTATATATAGAAGCATGATATAACTATCTAGGTGGGATACTTGTACCATATATGCTTCTAGGATTTTAGGAAAGGGAAAATGAAATTCGCTGTATCCTTGTCCATGTCCATGTTCATGTCCGATCTGGGCATCATATCTCATCTCACATGCTTTTTCTTGTATTTTGTTTTTCAATTGATTGGCCTGGTCACCCCCAACCAAATTTGTCAATGGTAATGTAAGATCCTTTACACCGTTTAAAAACAGGGAGCTGACAATAGAGGCACCCGAGAGAACTCTATTGAGGCATGCTGTATGTGTATCCATCTTTGGGCCAAAGAATCAGCTAAAACACTAAATTAAATACATTCCTTTGGGATTTATCCAGAGAAGGGGAAGAGGGAGGGAGGGAGGGAGGAAGAGCTAAGAAAGGATCCCTATTCCCTATCTCTCGCTTTTTATGCTCTGAAGTCTCTCTGCTTTGAAACTAGCAAGTGAAGTGAATCCGTGCAATGCATTCGCTTTAATAGAAAAATGAAGTGGTTGAGGGCTATGGAATATTTAAAAAAGATTGTCATAAAATTTGATTTAACGATTGTTTTAAAGTGCTTGAATGAGAAATTTTGAGATATTAGAAATGAGAATAATGACAAATAACCAATATTTATGTTAAAATGTATAAAAATCCAAAATAAGAAAAAAGAACATCCTTCCCTGTAAATAAAAAAAAAAAAAAATTGTAAAATAAGTTAGAGGACTTTCAAACCTGAACAAAACCCAATTCTAATCAAGCTTGGGTTAAGTGTGAAGTTGGGTTTGGGTTAACAAATTTGGGTTGCTGCTAGTGGGGTCATTATCCTTAACAGGACCTTAAACCTTAACCAAACCAACCCACCCAATCTATTCCTCTGCTTTATTAGAGACTTAAGAGGGATTTGGAGAGATTTAAGCGCCCATTTGGTTCACTTGAATAGTCTAGAATCAGAATCAGAATGGTCCAATTGTTTGGTTAGGTAGAATTGGAATCTGATTTCCATTCCTGGTGGAATGGCATTCCTCCAGGAATCTGATTTGAAGGAATGACCATTCCCTCCACCACCCTTGGGAATAAAAATTCCATTTCAGCCGATTCCATTTCCAACTATGAACCAAGAAGAGAATAAGGAATTTAATGAGTGAGACACTTGGCCTTCCTCTTTCTTCTATTTGGTTTGGAGTTTGTATGTATACTTCATATGCATTGAAAATATAGCCCCGAACATTTAGGGGGTGTTTGACAATATGGTTGACTTTGTTTTGGAAAACAAAAAATCTGCCATGTTAACAAAATTATATTGTTTTTGCTGATATGGCAACAACCATGTTATCGAACACCTCCCTTAGTAATTTAGTAATGAAAAAAATCCGACTGTTCAAGTTCACATAATTTGAATGAAAATGGCAAAAGCATCTCCTATTAGCCAAGTATACACTTTCAGAAGAGCAACACCAAATCAAATAAAACGGAATATGGAAAATGAAATGTTTATAGCTATGCAAATTGTAGCAAATCATAACAATAAGACTTCAAGGTGGTTTTGATTCACAAAAATGAAATGGATTTCAAAAAATATAAGAAATAAATAGCAAACTCCCATGATCCACTGATACGGGCAGTTGAACCATTTAACCCGTTCAACTTGGATGATGGTTTTGGCCATTTTTATTTTTTTAATTGCAATGGACCATCTGTTTAGATTGGACGATCGAATCCCTGACTCAGAAACCAATGGCCAAAGCAGTTTTAGTACCAGGTTGGAACACACACAAGAAACTATTTATATCTGTGAAAGTGTTAATGTGATTTATATAATAGTAATAGGTGGTATTTGTTAACCTTTCAATTTGATATTTGAATTACATTTACTATTTACTTAGGTATGTATGTTATTTGAGCTTTTTAATTGGATAAAGCCCAATAGAATGGCTCAAAACTGTAGCAGAATGGTTTGGTTTGATTTCTATATTAAAACGGTTTGATTTGGTCTAAGAAATTTTGGAACTGTAATTTACCAATTTGGTTTGAGATTTTTTTCAAATCAAATCAAATCCAATCATAAACTCTCCTAATTGGGAGGGTTGAGGTGTGGTGGCTTCTGACTTTCTAAGATGGCTTCTGACTTTTGGATTTTTTGTATTTCGGGTTTCGATTTTGGTTATCATACTTTATAAATCGGTTAACTGAAAAAACCTATTTACAATTATAATTATATATTTTATAATTTATAAAGAATGAAAGAGTGAAAAACAAGTAAAGGACAAGTAAAATGACACCTGCTAGTTTTCAAAATAAGAAAAACGTAAAAGAATAAAAGAAAATATTAAAATAGCAACTGAGTCCACTATCCAGTAGGTCAAAAAGCAGAGACTAACGTAAAAGAGTGAAATAAAACATTAAAATAGCAGCCGAATGTCTGAACCCACTACCCAGTAGGTCAAAAATCAGAGACTCTCACTTGCATTTGCCTACCTCTCTGTTTTGAATTCTACGCTACTTCACCGGATCAGCACTGCCACTACAGCGTGGCAGAGTAATGTTGCTAGCTAGTTAGTGGCTGCCCTGCCTCACGAGTCTAGCCATCTTCAATTATTTTACTACAAAAGAGATTGCCTCTGTCTCAGCTTTTCTCATACAATACAATCAGAAAGGGCTTAAGTCAATGTACCCCTTCTTCTTCTTCTTCTTCTTCTTCTTCTTCTCTGTTTTTGATAGAAAACAGACTGATAGAAGGCTTGCCATCATTGTCGAGTGCCACAGCTGCCGCTGTATCTTCCTCCAAGCTCTGGTCCTCTTGCATCTTCCTCCGTTCATCTCCAGTTTCTTATTCTTCTTCTTCTTCTTCTTCTGTATTTTGGATAAAACACGTATTGACAGAGGGCTTGACTTAATGAGTAACCACATAACTGGTATACATGTTTTTTTTTTTATATCTTGGTGAAATGAGACTCAAGTTAAATCATTTCGGTTTTAACCGAAATATCCGAAATAACCTAAAAAAATATCGATTCGATGGGTTTTCACATGATGGGTTTCCAAATTTTCTCATTAAGACTCACCAATGGGTCCTTTGACCCTCCAATTGATCCTTGGTTTTGTAGGACAATCCTTGATGAAATGTTCAATATTTTCCTGTTTTTCACATAAACTACAAAGATCCATCCATCAAAGATGCTAAACCCAATGATCTAGGTGCGAAGATCATAACACATGGGTCCCAAAAATTGTCTTCTGCAGCACGCAAGGTGATGCACCTTAGCATTGTAATGACTTGAAAAGCGAAATCTTCCTCTTTCAGAAAGAAGTTATACTTCACCACTTAGCAAAAATGGTTCCATCTTTCCCTGGAAAAACCAACTCTTTTTTCCTTT